AGCTGTTCCTTGCCACAGGGCACTTGTGTTAGTGCACTGTCACTGAAGGTATTCAACCTGGTTAAGAAGCACTGAGCAATTGGAACAGCTAAGTGTTCCCTAGATAGCATTACCACAGCAACAGCATTCCACCCGTTAGCGCTTAACACTTACCGAGACTACAACAGGTACACCAAGGTATTTCCAATTTTTTATCATGTCACTATCACTTTCTATCTGTACATTCTGGATGAGTTTGTCCAAATTCTCTTGTGTAGTTCCTTTTGCCAAAGAAAACGAGCAAATTATTAGTTTAAATCCACCTGCTAGATAAAATTAGCTCTTAGTCCCAGACATGATCGTATTTTTGAATATTTAAACTAAATATCAAACCTTTTCAATATTTCTCAGATCATAATAAATCCATCCTTTTAAAATTTACCATAACCTACTTCAGATACTGAAAAACATGAACATTCAAATGTCACTTCATGCTGATCTTTCAGAATATATTCTTATCTTCATCAGAGCCAGTTTCCTTTACTCCAACAGTAATCAGTATATTTCTGGGTACAGGACCAAGATCTGTTGTACAAGGCCCCACCTCAAAAAATAATTCCCTTTTGGGGAAATGGAGGCAAGCCAAAAGGCAAGTCAAACCTCATTTGAAGCTTAATCACATTATCAGTTCCTTACGTTTTTGATACTCAGCACTTATGATAGAAAACTTAAGACTGCATTTTCCCCTCCATTCTCTTTGTCACTTTACTTTCCCCATCAACACAACCTCCAGGTTTCACATGACAGCAAATCCCACCCCATAGCCTCCCAACACTGACCTGGGTAAGACAGAAAATATCCTATACCCCATGTAGGATCTGAGATGCTGCTCAGATAATCTATTGATAAAAATTTAATGTGCTTGCTTGTTGTGCGGGATCATTTTTAGCCCTGTATGAACCACCTCTTCAAGGAGGCATCTGGAGGAAAAGAGCTACATGTTATGAGCAGTATTTCCTTTTAACCCTGCCAACGCCTAGTACAACGGTTAGCTAGCTCATATCCAATACTGGCCTTTGCACTAAAACCTAGTATTGACATTTATAAAAATGAAAACAAAGCAACTTATCATACCATTTGTGCTGAAGATATAAAGGAGAATGGCTCTTATTTTGTCATAGGAGTCATGGTTTTTGCTGAGTAAAACTGGAAGGAGGACTCTCATGGAGTCTTTCACTTTCTGGCCTTCTGCATCTGTTCCAAGAGCTAAATCCTAAATTGAAAGCAAATAAAGTGGTCTTAGGTGACTTATTAAAACAAATGCCATTAGTTTGTGTTTCGTATTTGATTCCACTAAAGCGCTGGAGTTACCACTAAACTTTACCACTAATGGTTATGATGGACATGTTGGTAGAGTTTCTACTAGCTATTCAATTCACACTGTACTACAGGTGTGCATTTTAACTGTGATATCAGAGCTTGTATTTTTAAAACCCTTTTGCCAAATAATTTTGACAGTCAACATTGGCCAGTCAAATCCTGTTGTTAGGACACAGCTCTGCAAAGAATTTCATCTGTAATTACATTGTTAGTTGTGTGTCATCTGTACAGACAGGGACCTAGCAGCTTAAACAAACAAACAAACATACATTTTCAAAACCTAAGAGCTTTTACATTTTGACTATTGCAAAAGTTTGATCATATTTTGTTTAATGTTGTATTACCAAGCTCCAGATCAAAGACCACTAACAAAAAAGTGGCTTCTCAAACCCACATTATAATTTGATAATGTAAGAGTCATGTGCATAATATTAAAGAATAAACTTGAACTACTTTAAATACGATTTTGTACTGCATACTTTAAGTTAACAGCATTAGCTTGTTTGTTTATGGTACTGCCCACAGTGTACAAGCTGCTTTCCATACATTCAGAAAGGGAGTACCAGTTCTAAGGAGCTCATAATCTGAAGTGACATTAATCTGAAGTGACATAACTGGACAAGAAATTGGGGGGGGGGGGGAATTGGGATTTTTTTATTTTTTTTTAATAAAAAGGCCAACAAGATAATCCATAGGCAAAGGTAGGTCTTTTAAACAGACTTAAATATTGACAGGATAGGAACCTGACATAAGATATACTGTAAGACACAGGTTTCCTCAGAGTGGACAATTTAAAGAAAAAGAAACCATAAAAAAAGGCAAGATAAGCTACAAGTTCAGTTTTATGAAAATGACCATTAGATTTTATTTACACTAATGACTTTAACATACCTGTTCAGTTTTGCACAGCTTTTCTATGCTGGATTTAAACTTACTCATGCAATCTTCTGCTATGTTAAGATGGACTACTTGCTGTAAGAGGAAAAAAAAAAAAAAAAAAAAACAGTTCTTTTCACACAGTTCTATCAGGACAGGAGTACAATGCAGTTCATTTTTACTACTTAAACAGCCCTTTGACTATTTGAGTTTAATTTTGAAAACACTTCATGCTGGTGTTTTCCCCCTCACTTAGAAGTCATGTATTTTTCGGTAAAGATCAAATTACAGATTTTCAAAGGCAGAAACTTGGGTGGGTTTTGTTTGTTTTATTAAGACTAAATGTAACAGCTGTAAGTTAAAGGAGGTAAAGCCAAATAAAGCTTAGATGACCCCTCTTGGCATTAGAACACCAAGCAGAAATTGCCGTGTCTTGAAAAACTGGAGATCCTTTCCAAGGACATAAGATTTAGGAAGACTAGTGTTCACATATTTCCATAAAAGCCAACAGTCTGACTAAGGTGCATGGAGGAAGAGACTGTCTATGATTATACAAGTTAATAAATTCCTAGTACAAAGCCTACAATGAAGTTATTGGAATTAAGGATGTCATGTAGATGACTATGCAATTAACTGATTAATTTATAAGCCCAGGTCTCTCTCAACTACACACATTCCCCTCACCCTGCTCCTCTGTATCAAAGGCAGCAGCAGCGCAGGGCAGCAAGCAGACAGTCTGTGTGAGGAGCTGGTTTTTAAACTGTGGCCCCTCATGGACGGTCTTCCGCCTACCACTCTGCGCTGCTGCCTCTGATAGAGGCAGCAGCGCAGGGTGGTAGGGGGCTCTCCAGGAGTGGGGCCAGGAGAACACTCACTGACAGCCCTGCCACCAGGAACTATTGAATAGTCATTTAGCTGCTAAGTTTTCATGGGTTACACAACTATTAAATTACACTATATCTAACATCCTTAATTGGAATCCATGTACCTCTCTACCGCTAGTAATTGTGTGTGTCTCAAAAATGTCATCAAGAACCTTTTGGACTAAATAGGGAAGTGATGACTTCTGACCTTCACTTAGCATATGGGAATTAGCTTCTGGTTCTATATTTTACTAGCTTCTGGTGACTGCCTCACCCTACTTCACTAACTGTTTTACACACTTCCAGACAAGCACAATGTGATGGTTATAAGTTGATGCCACTCCATTAGATTGTGTAAGGTGGCTTTCCAATTACAAATCTGGAAATAAGTCTTTAACAAAGCCAATCTAGCCCAGTAATTTCAATGCTCTGTGATTAAGGAGGATTATATTCATTTTACGGATCTCAAATTCTAGACTATAAAATGTCTTCTCACAAGTAACTATATTTTGTACTTTAGTTTTCTAAATATTAGATTTAATTAATAAGAATGCAAGTTATGACCCTGGATGTTGCTGTTTTGCCACTCTAGGCATTACAGAAAATTTAAAAAACAGGGACTGTACTTCAATGCAACAACCTACGAGTCTTTTAGAAGTTTCATCAAGTAATTGAGAATTTCAAGTTCTATGACCTGCCACTATCTGCAGAGTCACTATTCAATTCCATGGCACGCACACAAAGCCAGGAGCACCATTCACGAAGAAAGGTGGTTTACCAGACGTTAGGTATTTTTTATTCATCTACACACTACCTTTTCTCCCTCAATCAACTTAATTGATGAAGTCATTACATTCAACTGGTTAGAACAAGGGTGGGCAATAATTTTTAATGGGAGGCCACTTGAATTTGGTAAGTGGTTAAGGGCCAGACTCTTCCATATTAGTAGAGGAGATGTGACATCTGGGATGGTGGTTGGGTGCAGAAGGGAGCTCAGGGGTAGGAGACTGGGATGCAGAAGGGAATATGGGTAGGAGTGCAGGAGAAGATTCTGACCTGGAGGAAGGGTGCAGTAGGAGATGCAAGGTCTTGGAGCGGGTTGTGACGTGGGGCAGGAGCGCAGAAGCGGATGCAGGGGTTTGGGTTGTGACCTGGGGTACAGGGTTTGGGAGGGGATATAGGTTACTTAGGGTGTGTCTAAACTACACCCTACTAGCCATAGATTAGTGGTGCATGAGCGGGACAGAGGGTTGGGAGGAGGAGGAGGAGGAGCTGGGTACCAGACACAGGCTCTGGCTAGGAAGTGGTTACCTAGACAGCTCCCATTCAGCTGCCCAACAGATACCTCAAGCAGGCTCCCTTGCACTCAAGTTCCCTGTAAGCTGCGCTCCCATGCAGCTGTTTTCAAGAAAGATATACAGGCAGTCCACGGGTTACGTACAAGATAGGGACTGTAGGTTTGTTCTTAAGTTGAATTTGTATGTAAGTCGGAACTGGCTCCAGATTCAGCCGCTGCTGCTGAAACTGACCAGGGGCTGACTACAGGAAGCTGGAGGCAGAATTGCTCTGCCCCCAGCTTCCTGGAATCAGCCACTGATCAGTTTCAACAGCAGCTGAATGTCGCTGGGACAGAGCTGCCAGGTAGGTCCCTGCAGGACCAACCAAGCAGCACCCCAGCTGCTCTACCCCAGGGTCCACAACAAAAGCCTGGTCTGCTGTGGGGGGGGAATAGCTGTGCCCCCCGCCCCCCCCAGCAGACCAGGGACACCGGGAGCAAAGCCGCAGCAGCAGCGGAGTCCCGCGCCTCTGAGGCTTTGCCAGAGCAAAGCCTCAGAGGCGCGGGACCCCTCTGCCTCCCTGGCTTTGCTCCAGGTGTCCCTGGTCTGCTGGAGACGGTCCCCAGCAGACCAGGGGCACCCGGAGCAGCTTTTCTCGCCCCGGAGGTCGAGGTGGCGGGACCACTGCGCTCTGGGCGGTCCCGCTGCCTGCGGGCTCCGGGGCGAGAAAGCCCTGTTCGTAAGTGCGGATCTGATGTAAGTCGGATCCGCGTAACTCGGGGACTGCCTGTACAGAAACTGGAGAAGGTTCAGAGAAGAGTAACAAAAATGTTTAAAAGGTCTAGAAAACATGAGCTATGAGGGAAGACTGAAGCAATTGGGCTTGTTTAGTTTGGAAAATAGACGACTGAGAGGGGACATGATAGTAATTTTCCAATCTCTAAAAGGGTGTTACATGGATGAGGGAAAACAATTGTTCTCCTTGGCCTCTGAAGACAGGACAAGCAGCAATGGGCTTAAACGGCAACAAGGGAGGTTTAGGTTGGACATTAGGAAAAACTTCCTAAACATCAGGGTGGTTAAATACTGGAATACATTGCCTAGGGAGGTTCTGGAATCTCCATCAGTGGAGATATTTAAGAGCAGGTTGCATTGACAACTATCAGTGATAATCTAAACCAAGGCTACGCAACATGTGGCCCACCACGTTTGTTTTCAGCCCGCACTGCAGTTTGGGTTTATGCAGGGCTCAACATGTGGCCTGCTGGTGGGAGCCAAAAAAACAAAAACAAAAAAGGTAGTCAATATAATGGTCTTCTGTTGATGTGTGTTTTAGTAGTTAAGTTCCTGGACTGTCATTGTTCATTAAAAGTGCTGTCATACGGGTGGAAACTGGGTAAATATTGCATTTATTAATACCAGCAGAACTGACTTAAATGGGGCCTCTGTGTTGTATAGTCTTGCCTTAATCTTTGTATTCATGCCCATCAGTGTGAAAGAAGTTATTTGCATATATATGCAGCCACACTTCAGTTGCAGCCCTTGGCATGTGCTCTGAGTATCTTTGTGGCCCATAGGACTTCCAAAGTTGAGTAGCCCTCATCTACACAGTGATTGATCCTGCCGTGAGGGCAGGGTACTGGACTTCATGACTTCTTGAGGTCCCTTCCAATTCTATCCCAGCTCCCAGCTGGGCTGGGGGAGCAGATTGCACAGGGGTAGATGTTGGCATTTGTGCAGTGAGATAGAAGTGGGGGGTTTAGAGTGTCCTGACTCACTTGCTGCAATCCTAAAATGTTAGAGGGAACACTGGCTTGTGCCCTCATAAAATGCATTCATTCTGAACAAAAATATGAAGCACATAACAAAAACATGCATGACAAAAGCTCAATATAAAAGCAACAGGTTTAAGGGGTTGGGGGGAGGGGAGAGAGCAGGCTGCAAGACTGGTGTGTGCACATGTCAGGGTATTTGCATGATTATATTTCAAAACAAAGTTTACATAGGTGTTAATGGCTTAAGGTAAGAAAAAAAGATTCCTTTAATAGATTTTTTTTGCAATGTTGAATATCTAAAACTCTTATTTAATTCTGTACTACTAAATTAATACATGGTATGGTGTATTGCATTAAGGTCAGATCTTGGCTATGTGGTAGAGTTCTGGCTCTTAGGAGTCAGAAGTAACAAGTACCAGGTGTGATGCAGGATGAAACTTTATTTGCAAGTTCTTTGAAACATGCATCTGTCTACAAACCCTGAAGCCATGCATTAATTTATTCTGGGGCTTTGGGTCTTTGAATTGCGCACGCACGCACACAGTTTCAAACCAGGAGAATTTTTATCTGTTTGTACAGGTCTCACTTGTTCTTGATTCGCAAGTATCCTACAAATTCCCCAGAGAAACTTTATCAGCCTTAGTGAATGCCTTTTTTGCTTTCCAGTGTCAGTAAATATTGTATTAGGCGACTCATAGATTTAACATCTTAAAACTGGATAATATGCATTTTTGTGTGTTTACTAGCTTGAATTGTTAGAAAGGATGATACATATACCCCACGAGTAAAGTTAATTTCTTTTATTTCATATTAAATAATTGTAAGCATTGTTCCTTGTTAATTATCCCTTGTTTTAATATATTTTCTTCCACACATAAGGACTGTTTAAAATTATATACAAACAAAAAACATTTTATATATTGGTGGTGCATATCCACACTCTACTTCGATATTGGAGTTACAGATAAGAAATTTCAACCTGCCCTCCACGCCCCTCCCCAAAAATTCAACCCGCACAAGGATAGAAAATGTTAGAGGGAACACTGGCTTATGCCCTCATAAAATGCATTTATTCTGAAAAAAAATTTGAAGCACATAACATGAAAATATGCATGACAAAAGCAACAGATTTTTTCCACACTAGTGTTTTTTTAATTAAAATAATAAAAAATATAGCCTTTAAAACCAGAGATCCTACTTGGTGAGAACAGTTGATAAACAAAAAGTGTTGCCATGTTCTGGATGCTACTTACCTTGGTAATCTGTTTACGGAAGTGGGGCATTTTTTTCATTAGCTGTGCCAGATTACTTAGTGATAACTGTGAAAAGAAGACAGAAGTTTAAACTCAACTTTCTCAAGCACCAATTTCTCTTACTACTAGAGGCTGGGATTTTACAACTACATAGCTAAGAAACTTATATTCTCAGGCAGGTGAAAAACCACTAAGAAACAACTTAACTGACTGCTGAAAAAACACATTGGGAAGCCTACTTAATATTACAAAAGAAATATTTAACAATAACTATCTTACTTTTCCTTCTGTTGCTTTTCTCTTTGATGAAACATCTTTCAAAAGTTTTGGAATCTCCCTGTCAGATTAAGGGAAAGGGAAAGAATGTTTTATAAATCAAACATTTTCATACTGTTCAGAATGTAGAATAGTAAACTCAAGAGGCTGTTGATAAATGCAAAGTAATGTATATTGGAAAAGATAATCCCCAGTATACATACAAAACAATAGGAACTAATTTAGCTATAACCACTCGAGAGAAATCTTGGAGTTACTATAGATAGTTCTCTGAAAACATACACTCAACATGCAGTGGCAGTCAAAAAAGCAAAAAAAGTTAGGAATAATTAAAAAAGGAATAGAGAATAAAGACAGAATCTCTTATTAACTCCATATACATGCATGGTACTCACATCTTGAATACTGCATACAGATGTGGTCGCCTTGGGTACGTCTAGACTACATGCCTCTGGCGACAGAGGCATGTAGATTAGGCTACCCGACAGCGTAAAATGAAGCGGCGATTTAAATAATCGCCGCTTCATTTAAATTTACATGGCTGCCGCGTTGAGCTGACAAACAGCTGGGATGAGGCATACCTGGGTTGTCGACAACTCCCTTTGATGTCGGCAGGTGTTTGTCGGCTCAGCGTGCTAGTCTGGACGCTCCCCTGCCGACATGAAAGCCTTTTTTCGACCTCCCCGGTAAACCTCATCCTACGAGGCATAACGGGGAGGTCGATAAAGGGCTTTCAGGTCGGCGCAGGAGCTTCCAGACAAGCGCACTGAGTTGACAAAGAGCTGATCAGCTGTTTGTCAGCTCAACGCGGCAGCCATGTAAATTTAAATGAAGCGGCGATTATTTAAATCGCCGCTTCATTTTACGCTGTCGGGTAGCCTAATCTACATGCCTCTGTCGCCAGAGGCATGTAGTCTAGACGTACCCCTTGTCTCAAAAAAGATAATGGCATTGGAAAAGTTCAGAGAAAGGCAACAAAAATGATTAGGGGTTTGGAACGGGTACCATATGAAGAGAGATTAAAAGACCCAGTCTTTTAAGCTTAGAAAAAGGGGAGATATAATAGAAAGTCTATAAAAACATGTCATGTATAGAGAAAGTGAGTAAGGAAAAGTTGTTTACTTGTTCCCATAACGTAAGGGCTCAGCAAATGAAAGTTAAATAGGTAGCAGGTTTAAAGACAAACAAAAGAAAGTTTTTCTTCATGCAGCACAGTGTCAACCTGTGGAGCTCCTTGCCAGAGTAGGTTGAAGACCAGGACTTTAACAGCGTTCAAAAAAAGAACTAGATCAAGTCATGGAAGTTAGTTCCATTAATATTTATTAGAAGCTAGGGATAACATTCCTATCTATCCTGGCTGTTTGTCAGAGGGTGGAAATTGATAACAGGAGAAAGATCACTTGACTACTACCTGTTTCTGTTCACTTCCCATGGGGCATCTGGCATTGGCCACTGTTGGAAAACAAGATACTGGGCTAGATGGATCTTTGGTCTGACCCAGTATGGACATTCTTACGTTCTCATGTATAGTAAGGATGTTACAATTAGATCAACTAATTGAATAATTGATGTAATTTGCATCAACTAGCCGATAGGGGCACCTCCGCCTTTGAGATGTAACAAGAACCCTGCTGGCTCTTTCTACCTTTCAAAGTTGGAAGCATCCAGGGGAGCATGGCCAGCAGGAGACTCAAGCAGTCCCCTGCTGGTTCTGCACTCCCAGCAGCACTTTTCTTTTGAAACATACAAGAGCCCTGTGCTGCCAAGAGCACAGGGTCAGCGGGGGACTCTCATTAAGGAAGAACGTAGTCAGCTAAATTAGGGAATCTTTTCCCCCTATGAATCTGAAATCTTTAACCCCCCCCCCTTTCCTCTCCCTCCCTCCCTCCCTCCCGAGGAGTACTCTGTCAACTTAAAGAGTAGGAGATTTATTTGGACAAACTTTCACGGGTTAAAAAAAGTCACTTCAGATGCACTGAGTGGAATATGTACTAGCAGATCAAAAGAAGGGATGCAGTTTTGCGGTTTCTTTTTGTAGTCTGGTTTTGAAGTTATTTCTTAGAAAGATGGCTACTTCTAAATCTGTTACTAATTTTCCAGGGAGATTAAAAAGTGTTCTTCTATTGGTTTTTGTGTGTTGCCTTCTTGGTGTCGGATTTGTGTCGATTTATCCTTTGGTGCAGAGACGGTCCAGTTTGGCAATATACATGACAAAGGGGCACATGTGATACTTTGGTCTGCCTCCCAAAGTCTGAGATGGAGGGATCATTTTCCAGGATAGGTAGTAGATTGTCATTATTGAGCTGGAGGGGATTTTGCTGGGGGGGCAGGGGGGGGGCGCTGTAGGTGATAGCTGAAAGTGTTCTGTTTTCCTTGTTTGGCCTGTCCTGAAGTATGTGACTTTTGGGAACTTGTCTGGCGCTGTCAGTCTGTTTCTTCCCTTCCTCAGGTGGGTATTTAAATTTTAAGAATGCTCAATAAAGAACTTGTATGGTGTTTGTCTCTGTCAGAGAGACTAAAGCAGATCTGGTTTTATCTTAGGGTTTGGCTGTAGACAATGGATTGTGTGATGTGTCCTGGATGGAAACCAGAGACATGTAAGAAAGAATAGTGATCAGTATGTTTCTGGTGTAGGGTGGTGTTTGTGACCATCATTTACTTGTATTTGGTATCCAGAAAGCGTACCTGCTGTGTGGACTGATCCAGGCTGAGGTTGATGGTGGGGTGGAAACTGTTGAAATCCCATTGAATTCTCGAATTCTTCCTATAAATCCATAGGATGAAGAGGTCATCAATTTAGTCAAGTAGAGGAGGGACACTAGGGGACAAGAGCTGAGGCAGCATTCTACTTTAGCCAAAAAAATGTTGGCATACTGTAGGGTCATGTGGGAGGGATAGCTCAGTGGTTTGAGCATTGGCCTGCTAAACTCAGGGTTGCGAGTTCAATCTTTGCAGAGGCCATTTAGGGGATTTGGGGCAAAAGTTTGCCAGGGATAGTACTTGGTCCTGCTGTGAAGGCAAGGGACTGGACTCGATGACCTTTTAAGGTCCCTTCCAGTTCTAGGAGATAAGTAATTAATGGAGATTGCCTAATTACCCATAACAGTGTTGCTGACTTTAGATGGTATAAATTGTCCCTAAATCTGAACTAATTGTGGATGAGAACAGTCAATGAACATCAACTAGCCGATAGGGGCACCTCCGCCTTTGAGATGTGGCAAGAACCCAGTGCCATGACTAGGGATTCCGTTCCTGACTGCTTGTAATCCATCCTCTTGCGGAATATTGGGGTAGAGCACTTCTACATCCATGGTGGCCAGGATGGTGTTTTCGGGAAGATCATTGTAGTTCTCAGTAAGTCAGTGGTGTCTCAAAGACAGCTAGGAGTGCTAGTTGTGATTGGTCTGAGGAGTGTCCACATAGCTGGACAACCTGCTGTGAGAGCACCAATGCCTGTGGTGATGGGGCATCCAGGATTTCCAGGTTTATGGATCTTGGGTAGCAGAAAGAAAACTCCTGTTCAGCACTTTAGAGGTCTGTCTGTGTCGATTTGGTCCTGTGCTACTGCAGGGAATTTGAGCAAATGATAGAGTTACTTTTGGTACTTTTTAGTGGGATCGAAAGGATAGTGACCTGTAGAATATGGAGTTGAAGTTGTCTGAGTCTCCTGTTCATAATCTAACCCAGCGGTTCTCAAACTCTGAGCTCTGGAGCCCTTTACATGTGTAAAAATTTATGCGGAGCTCCAGCAGTCCACTGATTGTATGTGTTGTACCTATCGATGTTTCCAGTTTGTCAACCTTGTGGAGCCCCTGGATAGGTCTCTCAGAGTCCTGGGGCTCCACGGAGCACAGTTTGAGAAACACTCATCTAACCTATTCACGATGACTATAGCACCTTAGGTATGTTAAAATAAGGGGTTTTTGGGTAAACGTACATTCAGCAGTTACATGTTTACAGGCAGGAGGAGGGCAAGGAGGCGGCTCCCATGGAGATGCCCCATGTGCTGCTGCTTCTATCAGTGTGGGGGCAGTCGGGAGACAGTGTTTATGGAGACCCAGCTTTTAAGAGGCTTTATCAGAGCCAGCACTGCAGGAGGAGCATGCGGCTACATGGGAGTTGGTATATACAGCCTACCGCCCCCCGACGCTGCGTGTATATCACATCCCTACAGCACCTCCTTTGCCGATCTCTGATTAGAATGTCAGAGTTGGTTTTGAGGCTATGCATAGCTGAGATTATGGGGCATGTGATGATGTTCACAATTTCAGCCTGTGCACGTCTGTGAAACACTGTATAGAAATCCAGACTAGGGATGTAAGCAGGTAGTCAACTACTCAACTGCCCAATAAGCGTAAGCTTATCAGGTAGTCAAATGAAGTACTCGATTACACACTCGACTGATTTATATTCCATGCATCTGATGAAGTGGTTTTTACCCACAAAATCTTATGCCCAAATATATCTGTTAGTCTTTAAAGGTGCCACAGGCCTCGTTATTTTTGCAGATACAGACTAACATGGCTATCCCTCAGTCTTGTAATATTTCTACAGTTATCCTAGGTCTTTATATCTTTATTAATTCTATTTACTGTAATAAATATTTTCAAATATCTATCCCTGAAACGTACAAGGTATCAAACATTAATAACTTATTCACATACTCTAACACATCTGCAATATGCTTGTGCCGAATCCGCACCCAGAGCTCATCCTCCTCCTCCAGAATTGCCTCTTTTTCCTTTCCATTGGGCCCATCTGTTGTATATCTGACAGGAAAAAAGTCCAATCATAAAATTAGACCTTTCTAGTACATGCTTTATTGTACATGTTCAGTTGCTTTTATGTTCAGTTGCTTTTAAGTAAAAGTTAGATAACTATTAACATTTTGAATCATGCACATTTTTAAAAAGTGGTTCTGAAACAACCCAAGCATAATGCTCAAGAAAAATTAAGACTGATCCAATGTCCTTAATTAAGGCAAAATGACGTGCATTTTAGAAACCACCAATGGTCCTAATTTGTGCAATAATCTGAGTTAAACAAAAACAGGTTTATAGGCACTTGAGTTTCTGGTACATTTTTGATTTTTCCTTTTTGAATGTAAATTGTGTGCAAAGTCAGACATGTTGAAGATAGGCTTCTAATGCTATGTATATTTTATCTACCACTTAAAGTATAGAAATACTTGGGTCTAAAAACTCCACATACACAGTTATAGAATCGAGTTGTGTGGGATTAACAGAGTCAGCATCATTGACTTCAATTATTAAGCAGTTTCCTGTGAACTGAAGAAATAAGATGTATACTAGGCATCTTGAACACAATACTTTAATTCATATTTGGATATCATAATCCTGTGAGATTTTACTGTGGCTTCAAATGCAACAGTTGCAGAATTCCCCCAGGACTAATACTGTTGCAGAAGCTCACAAATAGTGGTTGGAAGACAGTAGAAATAAGAGAAAAATGCAAATTTAATTCTAAACCCCCCACTAAATAGTGGGTCTACCTACTGCATTAAAATAAATAATTTTCAGACTTTTAAGAACATAAATTTAAATAAATGTTGCAAGCTCAGCATTATTCCTGCTACTCTTATACATTTCCATTTGACATATAGTTCTTTAGCACAGGTCCAGATATTTGAAATGCATCCCACAAGGGTTGTGTGACATGGCAACAGAATAATCAAACTTGTTTGTCACAAATAAGTTGAGGCATATTCAACATATGACACTTGTATCCCATAAAGGTGGACACAGTTTTTATGGAAGAGAGTGTCAAATTAAATTAGATCTAAGCTGCAAGATTCATACCAGTAGCTCAACTTCTGTATATACAGAAGGTTCAGCTCTAGTAATCACCAATTAAGACTTCAGATTAGAGTAGTAAATATAGCTGCATCAGAAGTCTTATTTTTTCTAATCTGGGGTGGGTAATAGTTTTGGGCTGGAGGCCACTTCAAAAATTTTTGAAGTGGCCTCAGGCCGCCCGGAAGGAGTGGGGCCTAAACTGGAAGGTGGCAGGGCAGGATGCTTTTGGGCTACTCCACCTCCAGACCGTGATTGGTCTGGGGGTGGCAGAGCCCCTTTGCTCCCCCCCTTCCATTAGGCACCCATGCCCCTGGCAGGGCAGGAAGAGGCTTCCCACGCTTCCCCCTCGCCCCCAGGCCAATCAAGGCTAGGGGAGTGCAGGAAGCGTCCTCCTGCCCTGCCAGGAGAACGTGACACTATGAAGTGCCATGCACTCCTCGCAGGGTGGAAGAAACTTTGTGCAGCTCCCCTGCCCCCAAGCCAATCAGGCTTGGGGGTGGGGTAGCCTGTGACATCTCCTCCCGCCCCACAAGGAGCACATAGCACTTAGAAGTGCCATGTTCTCCTCACAGGGCGGGAGGACGTTGTGCGCTCCCCCGTCCCCAGCGGGAGCAGCAGGGCCTCCATGGGCCAGATCAACCCACTTGGCAGGCCAGATCCGGCCCGCAGAGGCCCTTTTGCCCACCCCGTTCTAATCACAGGATAAGCCAAAAATTAATTCCGCTATGGACATTTTCCCTTCCTGCCACTGTTATCCACATCCCTGTGACCACCTAACCAAATCAGTCCTAATACTGGGGCTGTATCTTTGGCAATATTGTCTTGCTAAATGAAGCTTCTGACTGAGCTGTCAATCAAAAACCTCTGGCAGAGAGCAGACAGAAGAAAAACAGTTTTTCAACTGAAGCCATCTTTGTACAGTACAAACTATTAAAATCGCAAATTATTCCCTTACCAGTTCACCTTTAATAGCTTATTGGCTTTGTATAAATACAGACAGTTCCTAAGTATTTAGATTTGAGAAGCTATACTTGCTTGTATGTATCATTTTCAATTGGCAGCAGATCATATGCCATTGCTTGAAAGGTAAGTTCATGGAGTACAGTGGACACAGGGTCAAATCCTCGATCAATAATTAACAGCTGGGAGTGGGTTTTACCCTAAAAAGATCAGGATAGCAAAATTTTTAAGACTTACTGTACAAAATTACAATACTCCAAAACTATTTAAAGCAACCAAGGTCACATTCTAAGCAGCCTTGGAAAATCTTATAAAGTGCCAAGTTGGTTTAGTCTGATCAAGAGGAAGACTTTTTTGTAATTCAGAAAACATTACAACTAGGTTAGCATTAGCTATATCAAACTGGACCCGCTACTTCAACCATGAAATAGAGGCAACTTTATGTTTAAAGATAATGTGAGTTCATACACTGTTTGTGTATCATGTTTTCAAGCACACTACAATCCTTCAACATTTCGCCTCATAAGCAAAAATCCCTACTGAACTGGACACAATAGAAAGCCTAAAACAAACAACAAAAACATGGTTAATATCTAATCCTAGACTAAGAACTTAGTTTCAAATGTGAATCAGTTGATGTAGATTCAAAACTCAAACAAAAAACAGGGCTATGTAGCACTTTAAAGACTAACAAGGTGGTTTATTAGATGATGAGCTTTCGTGGGCCAGACCTACTTCCTCAGATCAAATAGTGGAAGAAAATAGTCACAACCATATATACCAAAGGATACAATAATAATAATAAAAAAAACATATGAAAAGGACAAATCAAATTTCAGAACAGAAGGGTGATGCGTTATTTTTTTATTTTAATTTTTTTATAAAAATAAAAAAGCAAATTGAAAGATCCAGACGAATACCTAGAAACCCACAATAGAACACCACTTGTCATCACCTACGGTCCCCAACTTAAATCTGTCCAACACATCATCAATAAACTACAGCCTATACTGGACAGGATACCAAGCTCCAAGAGGCACTGGGAGACAGACCCATAGTCTCCTAGGGACAACTACCTAACCTCAAGATGATTCTTACCAACAACCACAGTACCTACCACACTAATACCAACCCTGGTACCTTCCCTTGCAACAAGCCTCGTTGCCAGCATTCTCCACATATTCACTCTGCTGATACCATTATTGGACCTAACCAAGGGTATGTCTACACTACAGCACTAATTCGAATTAGCGCATCTAGACTTAAAAACTAGTTCGAATTAGCATTTTGCTAATTCGAACTAGCATGTCCACACTGAGTGGACCCTGAACTAAGGTTAAGGATGGCCCGAAGCAGTGCCAGCAGGGCATCAGATTAGGACTTAGTGTGTGGAGCTGCTGCCTCAGGCTAGCCGAGGGCTGTGCTTAAAGGGACCTGACCCCCAACTCCAGACAGACAGTTCTCAGGGGTTCCCCGCTTGCAAAGCAGTCCTGGCTTGGAGTGCCCTGAGTGCCCACACTCAGCACATCACAACACTCGGCCATCAGCCTGGCTGCACTTGCCGCAGGCTGCCATCCGGAGGGGGGAGGAGGGGTTAATCGGGGGGCTGCAGGAGAGCTTCCACCCCGAGGAGCCCGCTGAGCCACCCCAGTCCTCCCCATTGGGGGCTCGTACCCCATTCCTCCCTCACCTCCTTCCACTTACCCCTCCCTAGACCCCCTTCCTGATGTACAAAATAAAGGACACGTGTGTTCAAAAATAGAAACTCTTTATTGAACAAAACTCGGGGAGAAGCTTAACATGAATTGCAAAGCATGGCAGAAGTATTTATAGTTATATAACTTTGCATATGTGATATCACCGGAAATAAAGCTTTTCTTGGGCACTCAGGGTACGTCTACACTACAGTGCTAGTTCGAACTAACTTAGTTCGAATTAGTTAATTCGAACTAAGATAGTTCGAACTAACGCGTCTAGAACTAAAAACTAGTTTGAATTAGCATGTCCAGATTGAGTGGACCCTGAACTGGGGTTAAGGATGGCCGGAAGCAGTGCCGGCAGGGCATCAGAGGAGGACTTAGAGCGTGGAGATGCTGTCTCAGGCTAGCCGAGGGCTGCGCTTAAAGGGACCTGACCCCCACCCCGGACAGACAGTTCTCAGGGGTGCCCCGCTT